GTGTTGCATTTTTTCTGTTAGCTCTCACAGATTTTCACTGAAAATTTCTTGTGTTGCCGTAGAACAAACACTTTATCCTCAGCTTGTTTTCTTTGGCAAATGGCTCAGAAATATTCCTGAGAGAAGGGAGATGGCTCTAGCACTTTTCAAGTGCCTTTATAATAAAGTAAACAGAAGGTTACCTTAAGCCCATTAGTTTGGTATTACATTCCAGCTTAAACCATCATTTAGCTTAATCAACAGGGAGCTGAGAGAGAGAATTATGGCTGATGGCTGCTGACTTTTTAGAGGACTGTTTACATACGATACCATGCAGAACCTCCATTTCTCTAAGCAGCTAATGATAAAGGTCAACATCCAGTAATCTAAGTACAAAACCTTTTCACCAAGACAAAATGCAGCGAAAAAAAAAGACCAGCAACAGGCTTTGTCCCTTGCATAGCACTTAAATTTGAACAGAAATTGTAAAAATTCTTTTTCAGACTGGGCTGTAGAACTAGAGATTATCTATCTACTAGACTGGGCAGAGAGCAAAAACTCTTGTCACAATTGCATGCGTTTTTTCAGCTACATCACCATCTGTCCTGGTGAGAGACAGTAACACTGTCCCTGTTCTGTGTGATGAAAGCAGAAGCTCAGAGTGGTTGAGAGTATGACCCAGCCCCAGTTCCCTCAGTAATTCTGCAGCCCCAGCCCAGGGGGCTGAACAGGGTCTTAGCCCTTTGCCTCAACTCCTCCATCCATAAACCACAAAGACAAACATGGTCCTCTCCCCTTTGCAAGAAGATAAGACAGTAAGAGGAAGTCCAGCAAGAACTTCTGACATGGTACCAGTGAATGATATAGGAAAATCCAAAAGAAGTATTATCCCTGAAAGGTGATGACAAAGCTAAAAGCAGGGACTCACCTGAGGTCGGTGCATGCAGCAAGACAATGACTACATACATATACCTTCTCTGATTAAAAAAAAAAAAAAAAAAAACCACCAAAAAAGCTTTCTTCTTTTTTTAAATTAGCCTGATGATCTGTTCCCACTACTTGGTGGTGCCTTGTGTTTCCCTGTGCAGAGGGACCCTGGCTTTCCCTAGGGGACAGAGCAGGCAGGAGGCAGCAGGGACTCCTGGTCACAAGGCAAAAACTAGTGTTAAATGCCAGTAAGAAGTGACATTTTAGATTAAATGATATTCATGTTTAACTAAACTCCAGTTGGATAGCTGGTTGGGTGACTGTAACCTGATAATTATCCTTTACCCAGAAAAGGACAACACAAACATTTCTCTGAGTAAATGAATTAAGCAATAGCACTCTGAAGAGCTTAAATTGCTCTTGACCTTCACCTTTGTTTTACAACTGCTGTTATGTTCAACAAAAAGCACTGAGGAACAAGTCCCGGCATACAGTTTCCTCAGCGCTGTTGCTAGGATACCCCTGCAGGTGTAGGAAGCATTGCAAGCTTTCTTTTTGTGCGGGAAGAGACCCTCAGCGTGCAATAATACGACTCTTGTGACTCCTTCACTGTCTCAAGTCTGCTGCAGGCACACCGTGCTGCTGCCAGCTTTACCATTTCCTCCTGCTCAGCACCTAGTTGCTAACGAGTAAAACACCAAAACTGATTATCTTTAGTATCATTATTATCTTGCTATCACTGTCTGCAGCTGTCTCGCAGCCTCAAATCCCATGTCTCCACTCAGGGAAGGCTCTTTCAGAGTAATATTTAAAACAAAGCATTTAGCAAAAGCCAGAATCATACTGACGCAGAAAAAAAAAAAAAATTGTCTTCAAACACAAGTCTACTAAAAATGATTGTTGCAGATCAATAGTGCCAGAATACAGACATGCTAATAACATGAATATTAGATATCATTCCCTCCTGACCTTGAAATAAAATCTGAAGTAGTGAAAGCAACAGTTAGGTCATTGGCAACATGGATAAGCAATGTCGGAAAAGGCCCAGGCAGTACCCTGCAAATGTTTTATCAGTTTCTTACTAAAAACTTTGGTGATTTACTTTCCATAGCTGAATAACTGTTGCAGTTGCCCTTCAGATGTTCTCCCAAGTTTGATGGAAGTACATAAAAACTGCATCCCTTAGATTTGCACAGGGAGCAGTCCTAACAATTTGTACCAGCTATGTCTCATAGGCTTGATGCAAAATCACTAAATGCCATGTTTATTAAAGCTCCTTACAGTTCCAAAAAGACTGAAGAATTCTCTGCCCCCTTCCCTGCTTTACATAAATCACCTGAGGAGAATCATCTTCCCAGTTTCTTAGTAGTTTTTACCAAGGGCTTGCTTATGCCTGTGTGCAAGGTACCTGAGAGCAGTAAAGGAACTCAGGCTAATCCTCTTGACGGCTTAAATACAGCTCCCATGTCACCCTCTGCAGCTCTTCCAGAATCATGTTTACTAACACCAACCTAGGCAGCTTGCCACTACTCGTGTATTATTATCCTTCAGTTTGATTTACCTGTCTATTCAAACTCTGCTCATTAACTGGACACCTGAAACCCAAAAATACTCTTTTGGAGGACATATTGGTCACAAAGTGAAGCAGTAATACGTAATATGAGCAGTGGATAACAAAACTCAGCACTCAGAAAAGCCTCTGGGTATTCCTGACTAGCACAAAGTGATGTTTTTTGTTCCATCTCCGTAATGTGAGCTTTACCATTTTTCACCGAGTTAACAGTTGCAGGATTTTTGCATCTTCTGCCTCAAAGAAAAAAAAACATACAAGACACGATTTATCTGGGTCAAAAGCGGGCTAGTTCTGGGGAAGTGAACGGAAAGGCACTTTATTACAATACCACTCCATTTACTTCTTAAAAGTTTGGGTAAACAACTTATGTAACTGTAAGGGTCTAACAGTAAATTCATTCCAGAAAACACCACCAATGCAAATCAGGAAGAAACTCCCTTATATGATTCCACCTGTATCTGTTGAGACAGAAAACACAGCATGTGGAAACAGAAGACTGATTTTTCTGTTTTGTAACTGGAAAGATCTGTCTTACCATCGCTTTGTATGCACTGTGAAGTTGAACGTACAGAAGATCCCACAGATCCTGTGCCTCTTTGCCCTGATATGTTTGATGTACTTTTTGCAGAAATGCTGCAGGAAAGCTGCAAGCGTGTACGGTTCTGCTAAAATTACAGGGCTTCTGCTTTTCTATAGACTAGAGCATATTGTGGCCACATTTTAGAGCAAAAATTACCATTTATAATTAAGACAAAGAAATATAAGGAACAAAAATTTAGTAAGAACATCATAGAAAGCTGGAAACTGTGCAAAATACTTTTTGAATATTAATGAAGATTTTACAAGATGTTTCCTTATTAAATAATAACAATTATATAACTTGAAGGTATATAAGAGAGTTAAGATCATTGAAATATTTTCAATTTTAAGTATATAGCAGGGAAACTGCATTAGCATAAATATTATATAGTAGATCCTGTTTTCAGAAACATCCTTTTACTGAAGCCAAGAGTAAATACTTCAATTGCATTAAAACTGTCAAATTTTGTAACATGTTTAATGTTATTGAAACAAACAAAAGCTCTCAGGTACAACAGGCAGTATCTTTCTGTTGTTTGATTATTTTGTACAACTCTCAGAAAGAGAAACCAAATAATTGTCAGCTAAGGTCAGTGACACTTCTTCAGCTGACATTAAAGGAGAAGCTACAAAAACATTAAAATGTTAGATTTCCATACCGACTGATTCCTCCAAGAACAGACACTCCCAAAGCAGGACAATTTGGCAAACAACATCCTATGTTTGGATTCATTTACTGCTGAAACGTGTGTCTCTGATCTTCAGACAGATCGACCCCTTCAACGCTTACCTGTCCATTTAAATGTTCCAAGGACATCTTGGGAGCAGATTTCACGTTCCAAAGGTACTGACTGAACTCGTGAGCAAACATGCAGCTTCTAACAGACTTTTTAAAAGACAACAGCACTTCTGCTGCTTGCTTGAGGACTAGCAGGCAAGCTGGCCTGTGGAGAGCTGCATTTCACCCACAACAGCTGGCAAAACAGCCAACAAGCAAAACCATACAAACAGCTCTGCCTTTGGGGCATTCCTACGGTTCACAGCATAACTGGCAGAAAAATTAAACTATGAGCAACAGCCCTCGAGAGAATTATTTTTCATATACTTCAGCATGCCAATAGCTTTAAAGTCAATTCACCTGTGGCACTGAACATAACAAGCACAGCTGACAGCAAGCAGGGTCATCTTTAACCATCTCAGCATTCAGTGTCAGGCTTGATTGTAAATGACAGATGCCAAAGCTTCATTACAGAGAGATAAAATTAATCCAGAATGAAACAGTTGTGGGTGAGTTGCAAACCCATCAATGACTAGCCCACGGAGCCAAACAAGTCACTGGCAACACCTCTGAGTCCTTTAAATGCCGGTGATGCCACCCACTGCTATAAGAATTTGACACAAGCACATCTTTTCCACTTGGCTTGGTCCAAAAAAAACCTCTGCAACCTTGGCATTTCTCTGCTAAAAAAGCTCAGCCTTTTCCTTGCTCCTAGTCCTGTCCTCTCTTCTGCAATAAATCTCAGACTATCCAAATAACACTTTAATGTCAAAAGCTTTGTTCTAAGCCAAAGGCATTACTGGCTGTCAGATAGGTACTTACCTATGCAGTGACAGACTTGCTATAAAACCATCACCCTGTGGTTGTGCATTCCTGTGCCTGCCCAGCTAAAGGTCAACTCCAACTTCTGCAGTATTCCCAGGGCTGACTCCTTCAGCTAGAAATGTCCTGCCACACAAAAGGCAGTCACAAAAAGTATACAATATAAAGCTACAGTTATGGGAATAAGATATATACCTATGGTAATGTCTCCCCTCCACAGAACGGACCAAAATTCACTTCTTTGCACACTCCCTGGCTTCAGCTCACATCTGCCCCAG